GCGGCGCACCAGCGCCGGCCCAAGGCAAAGGCCGCGGCAAGGGCAAAGGCAACGCCCGGCACGGAGCGACCGACGCCGCGGCCGCGAAGCGAGAGCTGGCACAGTTCTTGCAGCTGCATGGCGACTTCACTTTCCGCCCGCGGCCGGCGCCGCCGGCGGAAATTGTAACAGTATACGATGAACTATACGAAGGCAGCCTGGGCCTTTACAAGCACATGGCCAGGCACATGCGCACGCCCGCTGTGCTGGCCATCTTGCACAAGGAGATCTTGCCGGAGATGGCCCGAGAGTCACACTGGCGAGTGGATAAGCAGAACCACGTAGAGAAAAAACGCCGGGACAGCCGCGAGCTTGGTGCCTCGCGCTCGTCGCGCTCGTCCGTGTCGCGGGCCAGCGGCTGGACGAGTCGAACCTTCGGCGCGTAGGGCGGCCACCGTGGCTTGCCGCTTCGGGCGGCCACAAGCTGGCGTGGGGGCACATGCGCGGCTTGTCGTTTCGGACGGCGGCGCGCGCGCTGACAAGGCGATGACCTGGAAAAGGAGCGGAGCGGACGAGGGCTGTGGCTTGGGGATACATGCGGACGTAGTTTGGGGCTTCTGTGTCTTGTGGTTTGTTGAGGATGTAGCACGAGGCGTGCGTGTTGCTTGGGTCCACTTTTATGTGTGTGTGAGAGGGAAGGGACGTGTTTTGCTTGTTTGGGACGTGTTTTGGGAGAAGCTGACCCTACGAAGACCCGACCAAGACCCCTGCCATGATGGCAACTTCCTTCCTGGCTCAAAGTCACTACCTAGGGCTTGGGCAAGTTTTCTCTCACACACACACACACACACTTGCAACCACAGCTACAGAGACGCACGCAATATGACAACGCAACACACAGCAAAATCCACTCAGCGACGCACGGACACTATCTGTTCGCGGCGCTTGGCGTTTCGGCCGGCGTTAGCTATGGTTGGCAAGGGTGAGGGCGCGCCGCGCTTGGACAGCGCAGCTTTGACTCGGCATGAGCTGGCTGACAGCTCGGAGTCGGTGGCGCGCTCGAAAACACGGCTCAGGCCACCTACCGCCAGAGCCGCCGAGTCTCTCCGTGACATGCGCGAAAGCGCACACTTATGGTTTGCTCTGAGAAAGCACGTTGAGCCATGCAAGGCCGAAGACATACTTGCGAGGCTCGCGGAAAACTCGAAATGGCGAGTTGAGAAGGATCACGTGGACCAAGCTTTGCGAAAACGCTACCTACAGCTAGTACATAAAGTCAAAGAGTTTGAGCCCGCCTTCCAAGACCTTGAGATGCAGAGGCGCCAGAAGGGGCGCGGCCAGTAGAGTCTTGCCGTCGGCTTGCCGTTTCGGGCGGCCGCGGATCGAGCAAGAGACAGGGCGGGCTTGGCGCTTCGGCCGGCCGCGCCACTTCAGTTTGAGCCCGCCTTCCAAGACCTTGAGACGCAGAGGCGCCAGAAGGGGCGCGGCCAGTAGAGTCTTGCCGTCGGCTTGCCGTGTCGGGCGGCCGCGGATCGAGCAAGAGACAGGGCGGGCTTGGCGCTTCGGCCGGCCGCGCCACTTCGCGCCAACAGGCAGCGCGACCCGGAAAACGCCGCTTTGCAGAGCTTCGAACACACAAGATTGCCACTATACATAGTCCCTTCTTCCTCGGCCATTTGTATGGGTAGTTCTTTCGGGTCCAGGGAATAACAAAGACAGTTCTCCAGTGGTACCCGGCCAGGGACCCAGTCGGTTTTGAAAACTGTTCGGGCCACGGACCTTTTCATGTGCTGTCTGTCTGTTTTGTCAAGTTTTGGGGACTCGCTTCTGTAGCACGGGAGGGAGATTGGAGGGGGGGAGACTTCTTAGGGGTGAACTAATTGGTGGCTGTAAAAAAGGGAGATTGATGGAGTCCCCTCCTTCGGGAAAAAATGGTGGCAACGCCATATGACTGTTTACAGGGTTTCGGCTGACGCGTAAGCGGCGCTTCGATGGCTCAAATACAGTTACTGTGGTGACTTGAGCATGTGGCTACACACACACACATCACACACACACACACATGCACCCACGCATCGCACACGCACACACGTAGGCGTTCCAAGCGCTTGGGCATTTTGTGTTATCCAGGCTACAGCCGGCAAATGTGATGCACCCGCACCTACGGGGGCCCGTAGAGTTCCACATTGGGGCACTTTTTGCAAGGCAGCTTGCCAGCAGGAACCTGCACGAGGTGACCGTGCTTGACTTTATGGACGGGGCGGGTGTGCGCTTCTGCAGTGATGACTCAAGGGCGTGGGCTCGCGCGCTGCCCGCAGATAAGGACGTGCGGAAGTGCCAGCAGGCTTTCGTCCACACCATGTGGGGCGGCCGCGCCCAGCCCGTGTGGGACGGGTACACGCGCAGCTACCAGCTGGTGCAGCAGTGTTGCCCGTACATGCTGCAGAAGTCTAGGATGTGCCGCGGCAACGAAGCCATCGCCGGTCTCGGCGCTGCATGCGATCAGTGGCACGCTCTATCGGCGGACCACGGCACCACTCTCAAGACGCACGCGCTCTCGTTCTTGGGCACGCTGGCCAGTCCAAACCGCGGCACCTGGGACACAGACAACGTGCAGAAGCTGCGCAACATAGGTTTCTACCAGCAGGTGGCTTGCGCATGCGGCTTGACGCGCACGCACAGTGAGCAGTATCACAAAGATCGGCGACAACAGCTGCAGCTGCAGCAGCTGCCGCGGTTCCTGCCTCGGCTGTATCCCGACGGCCAGCGGGATGGGCTCATTGATCAGGGGCACGAGTTCGTCACGTACTTGGCCGGAACTCATCCAAACTTCTCTGCGCAGGAAGTGAAGTGGTGCATGCGAGCAGAGAAGTATATGCGGGACCTGCATGAGTCGCTCCAGCGCAAGGACGGGAGACTCCAAAGCATGAGCGTAGCGCTGCGCGTGCCGTTTCGGGCCGCGTAGTTGCTGCGCCAGCAAGCAGTGACGACCAGCCGCAACGCTCGCGTGCCGTTTCGGGCCGCGAGCAGCGGCGCACAGACCAAGCTCGCCGGAGAAATAAGGCTGGCTTTTGCGGGGGCGGGGCGGGAGACGGAGCTGGGGAGATTTTAGCGGCTTCGTGTTGTTCAGCTTGTCCAGTATGGCCTTTTTGTTATTTGACTAAGAAGCAATGCGCTGATAAGGGTTTTGTTTCTAAAAGGGCGAAGGATCAACCACTTTTGCGCGTGGGACAAAAGCCACGATGCAACCCCTGGAGCTCACCTCTTTTTGCCTTTGCTGTCCTTAACAGACCTCGGAAGGTCCATTTTGGGAGGTCCGGCGCCCATTTGTTTTTGTGGCTTTTTGAAGGGAAACCACCATTTTGCAGGGCTCGGTGCCCGTTTTTGTTTTTTTGGCTCGGTTTTAAAGGGAACCCAACGGAAAACCACTCTTTTCGGGAAACGAGAAGGGGGCACCACCCATTTTGTGAAGTCTGATGCCTGTTTTTTTTTTGTTGGTTGTAAGGGGAAGCCAAAGGAACCCCACCCTAGTAAGGCCTTATTAAGGCCTCATTTGTGGGACACAAGAGGGCTGTGATTGACGGGTGCCGTGTTTTTTGTTCGCTCAGCAGCCAAACGCCGTCGTTGCTTTTTGAACGGCTCAAAATCAGTTACTACTGTGACTTGGGCTTATGTTTACACACACGCACACCCACACATCACACACGCACACACGCAGCGCAACATCTTGTCACTAAAGAGCTGTTTTCCACGGCACAGCAAGTTTGCCACAGCGAGTCACACGGCCATTACGGGTTAGGAGCAGGCTTGGCGTTTCGGCCGGCCGCTCCGCGCCATAGCAGGCAGTCTCCGCGCTTGGCGTTTCGGCCGGCGTTGACATGGCGACTTTCGTGAGCATCAGCGGCGACGCGCTGAATGCGCTGAAGGACGTGTACAGGAGAAACCTAAGCGTGCCCGAGCGCTTGGCTTCGCAGGAATGCGTGGCGTGCACGAAAGCCATAGCCGACGACTGGTGGCAAACAGAGCCAGGCAGACGCGAGCTGGAGCGCACAGGTGTGTGCGAGCGGTGCTGGGACACAATCCATGGGCCCGGCGTGTCGGACACAGCGGCTCAGCGGCAGTGCGATCGTCTGAGCATCAGTGGCGTGCAGACATGCAGGCAGTGGATCATGTTCAGCAAAGTTCGCGAAGTCGCGCGCATGTCTTCAGAGCACGGACGACTTGCGTGGGAACTCATCTTGGGCCGCAGGCAGCTGCCACCTGCGACGTGATGTCACGCAGGCGTAGTCGTCGCTTGGCGCTTCGGCCGGCGACGCGCGCGTCGTGTCAGCACGGATGTTGGCACCGACGGACGCGCTTGGCGCTTCGGCCAGCGTGCCTACGAGCGTGCGGAGCAGAGGGCCCGGAGTAGAAAAGATGGGGCCGCTTTGGTGAGGCTTGTTGTAAGACTTGTTCCTTTTTTCCACATGGTGTCACAGTCACAGGGCTCTGAAGGTTCCTACACCACCGGGGGGGGGGGAGGAAGCTGTTGCCAGGTAGCTGTCTTGCGATTGTGGTCCGACATGGGTGGCTTGCCAGGTATAGAGTTCGAGAGAGAAAGAGAGAGAGAGAGAGAGAGAGAGAGAGAGAGAGAGAGAGAGAGAGAGAGAGAGAGAGAGAGAGAGAGAGAGAGAGAGAGAGAGAGAGAAAGAGAGAGAGAGAGAGAGCATAAATAGACAGATGCGCAGAACTCTGGAAAGCTGGTTGTGTGACTCGGGGGGTTCACTGCGCTCCGATCGGCTCCAAATCATAGTCACTGTCGTGTCTTGAGCAGGTTCTACACATACACACGCACACACATATGCACGCACAGCAAGCACACGCACCCACGCATGCATTTTCGAGCACAACTGCTTTCGGTTGTTGCAGCGCGGCTTGGCGTTTCGGTCGGCCGTGCGATTGCGGGCGCCACGGACCCGCGGCTTGACGCTTCGGTCGGCCGTGTGATTGCGGGCGCCATGGCCTCCGCGGGCCAGCGGCCCATGGTTGTCAGGCCGTCCGAGCTGACGCAGCCTGGACGGCTAGACGGCGCTAAGCGACTGCTTGGACGCCTCGTGGAAGTAGAACACGTGCCCAACGCCCGCTTCGGGTGCTACCTCGTCTGCGGCCAGACGGCTCGCGACGTCATCGCCATCGAGGCGTGGCGCGAGCTGGCCGAACCCTGCCTCTCTTTTGAAGGCTTCGTGCGTGGTCAGCCTCACGCAGATCGCGCTGAGCAGGCGGCAGGCCTCGAAAGCCAAGTACACGCACAGCCAGTGCGACCTCTTTGTCCGCTTTGACAAAGGCGCCGGAGTCGAAGAGGAGACCACGCCGCCGCTGGAGCTGCCGGCCGGCATGCCTTGCACGCCCTTGCACCAAGCCGCTTGCTGGAAAGATGGCCTCGTCAATGTTCGCGCAGAAGTCACGGGTGGGTTCTCCCGCGCGACAGACGACAAAGATCGCCTCTTCAAGCTCACTCTGCGCCAGCCCGGCAAAGCCGGCGAGTTCTCCGACGCGGAAGTGCTCGCGTGGGGTGAGCTAGCGACAGCGGCAGAACAGGTGCCGCGACCGGCCATGATGCTCCGCAATCTGGCGGTGACCAAGCACGCAAAGAACGGCTTCACCTTGAAGTGGCTCAAGCAGACCGCCGCGTGCGCCCTGCCTGCGGTCGAAGCGGAAGAGCTCCGAGCCAACATAGCTGGCCGCGAGCGCTGCAAGACACTATCCCTGCGCGCTGGCGGCGCTGCCGCGCGAGACTACGGCGCCGGACCGGCGACTTTGGTCTCGCTGGCGACGCTCGGCGCTTTTTTGCCGGCGGCCGAAGCGAAGAAGTTCTCTCACGAGGACGGGTGGGAGGCACCGTTCTGCACGCTGGCTCACCTGCAGACCTTGTCCCGGGTGCCGGAAGACTCTTGGCACTACACAGGCTGCGCCACTTGCTTTCGCAAGACTTGCGACAAACACGACGACGCTGGCGTCCGGCCGTGCTACAGCCTGGAGGCTACTGTGTGGGATCACACGGCCACGCTGGACGCGAGGATCTTTACCAAGTGCGTCGACGAAGTGCTGCGTGCTGCCTTGGCGTTACGGCCGGGCGACGCGGTACAGTCGCGAGAGAATGCGGAGCACGAGATCCGAGCCCGCAAGTGGGCTGTGCGCTTCGTCGTGGCGCACGACGAAGCGTACTCTGGACCGACTGGCTCTCGCGCCGCGCGCAACACCTTGCAAGTGGTGCATGTTCGCGAGGCTCCGCTTACCTACTCGGGCTCAGCAAAGCCACTCCTGTGCTTGCGCGCGGCCGCCTCACTCCCGGGCTGCCCATGCATCTACTTGTCAGACGCGAACTTGGATGTCGCAGGGCAAATTACGGCAGGTGAGGATCTGCCAGTCCAGTACGCGGAGCTCTTACTGCGAGTGACGGCCAAAGATCCTGTGCAGGAGTGCAACGAAGCCGAGCGCGGAGTGCGAATCATCTTCGAGTGCGCAGACGCCACGCAGCCAGATATCCGCGCGGACCTCATGTGGGTGGTCAGCGTCAGAGACAGCTTGGCCATCGCGCGACAGCGGCCTGACACGCTGTTGCGGGTGGTTGCAAAGCCTCATGTTCTGTTCGACACGGACGGCGAGCCTTCCTTGCGTCACTGGCAGGTGATCTTCCAGTTTCCGGCTGCGGACGGAAATATCGAGCCGTTTGCCCGCCGTCGGGCGTGGCAGCTTTCCTTGGACTCCCAGCCCAGCCTTGAGATCAAGCGTCTTCAGGAAGACGCCATGGCAATGACTCCGTTGACTAAGGTTGCCAGAGTAAAAGAGGCTTTGACCTCGCCCAGCTTTCGTGCTTGATGACGCGCGTGCCGTTTCGGGCCGCGCGTTCGTGTCGGCGCGTGCCGAGCCAACATAGCTGGCCGCGAGCGCTGCAAGACACTATCCCTGCGCGCTGGCGGCGCTGCCGCGCGAGACTACGGCGCCGGACCGGCGACTTTGGTCTCGCTGGCGACGCTCGGCGCTTTTTTGCCGGCGGCCGAAGCGAAGAAGTTCTCTCACGAGGACGTGTGGGAGGCACCGTTCTGCACGCTGGCTCACCTGCAGACCTTGTCCCGGGTGCCGGAAGACTCTTGGCACTACACAGGCTGCGCCACTTGCTTTCGCAAGACTTGCGACAAACACGACGAAGCTGGCGTCCGGCCGTGCTACAGCCTGGAGGCTACTGTGTGGGATCACACGGCCACGCTGGACGCGAGGATCTTTACCAAGTGCGTCGACGAAGTGCTGCGTGCTGCCTTGGCGTTTCGGCCGGGCGACGCGGTACAGTCGCGAGAGAATGCGGAGCACGAGATCCGAGCCCGCAAGTGGGCTGTGCGCTTCGTCGTGGCGCACGACGACTCTGGACCGACTGGCTCTCGCGCCGCGCGCAACACCTTGCAAGTGGTGCATGTTCGCGAGGCTCCGCTTACTCGGGCTCAGCAAAGCCACTCCTGTGCTTGCGCGCGGCCGCCTCACTCCCGGGCTGCCCATGCATCTACTTGTCAGACGCGAACTTGGGCAAATTACGGCAGGTGAGGATCTGCCAGTCCAGTACGCGGAGCTCTTACTGCGAGTGACGGCCAAAGATCCTGTGCAGGAGTGCAACGAAGCCGAGCGCGGAGTGCGAATCATCTTCGAGCGCGCAGACGCCACGCAGCCAGATATCCGCGCGGACCTCATGTGGGTGGTCAGCGTCAGAGACAGCTTGGCCATCGCGCGACAGCACGGACGGCGAGCCTTCCTTGCGTCACTGGCAGGTGATCTTCCAGTTTCCGGCTGCGGACGGAGATATCGAGCCGTTTGCCCGCCGTCGGGCGTGGCAGCTTTCCTTGGACTCCCAGCCCAGCCTTGAGATCAAGCGTCTTCAGGAAGACGCCATGGCAATGACTCCGTTGACTAAGGTTGCCAGAGTAAAAGAGGCTTTGACCTCGCCCAGCTTTCGTGCTTGATGACGCGCGTGCCGTTTCGGGCCGCGCGTTCGTGTCGGCGCGTGCCGCGTCGGGCCGCGCGCTCGCGCGGACTGCTGCACCGCTGAAGCAGACGAAGAGAAAAGCCTAGCTTTTGCGCTTGACACGCGTGCCGTTTCGGGCCGCGTGCTCCAGCCCAGACTACAGCACGGCTTGGGCAGACGCAAAGAAAAGGCGCTCTCGGGGGGGAGGGAGGAGAGTTGAACTTGAAGCGCTCGTTGGGAGCTTTGGAAAGGGAAAGAGAAGAAAGAGAGAGAGAGAGAGAGAGAGAGAGAGAGAGAGAGAGAGAGAGAGAAGAGAGAGAGAGAGAGAGAGAGAGAAAGAGAGAGAGAGAGAAAGAGACAGAGAAACAGAAAGAGAAAGAGAAAGAGAAAGAGAAAGAGAAAGAGAAAGAGAAAGAGAGAAAGAGAGAAAAAGAGAGAGAGAGAGAGAAGCAAGGGGCCAAGGACAGTTCTCCAAACTATAGTTGTTCACTGCTTTGAAACTTCCGCCCCCCGGCTCTGCCGGACCTTACTTGTAAAAACTATTGACGAGAAACTTGATGCAAAGGCAAACGAATCAAAAAATAGCAATGAAGAGAAGGAAAAGATTGACAAAATCTTTGAAAAGAAACAAATAGGAAGGCCGTCTGGCAGTTTTCAAGATAAGCAAAAGCAATATATGGATATGTTAAATAAGAACAAAATTAAATCTCCAAAAACAGAAACTATTGAATTTTATAAACTGTTTAAGAACGAAGAAGGAAAATACGAATTAATATAATAAATATCTGAATAATTCTAATAATATGAATTTATTAGAATTATTTTCAGGCAGTGGTTCTGGGGATAATTATGTAATACATAAGCAGGACGATTTATACAAAATACCTGCTGAATTGATTTGTGAGATTTTGACGAGTTTGGTGGATTAAGGAATTTGAGTTGGGGTTGTGCTTGAAACTCGAGGAAAATGTCATTTAGTTGCTGCCCCCCTTTTGTGTGGCTGGCTGCCCCCCTTTTGTGTGGCTGGCTGCCCCCCTTTTGTGTGGCTGGCTGCCCCCCTTTTGTGTGGCTGGCTGCCCCCCTTTTGTGTGGCTGGCTGCCCCCCTTTTGTGTGGCTGGCTGCCCCCCTTTTGTGTGGCTGGCTGCCCCCCTTTTGTGTGGCTGGCTGCCCCCCTTTTGGGTGGCAGGTCATGTCCTCCTCCATTAATATTGCCTGACTATTAAATTAACCCATAAACCTTACAATAAAAAACATTGTAAGATTTATGTTTGAAAATTTGGGGATTTTATATTTTGGGATTTTGGAAAAATATATTTTGGGAATTTGGGATTTTTAAGATGGTCTGGTCTTAAAGACATGCCACCTATCAATAGTAGCATGGAGATGACTGACAAAATGCAAAAATGTAGGCGATGTGAAAACACTTATCCACCTGACCTATTTAATGTTAGAGTGCATATTTGTGATTACTGCCGAGAACAAAGTAAAATTGATAGGAAGGAAAAGAAAAAGGAATATAGTAAAGTGCGTAATCAGATTGAAATAGAATGTGATATTTGCCAGTGTAAAGTGAGGAAATCTGCAATATCCAAGCATTTGAAAACACAGAAGCATATTGAGAATGAGAATAAAGTAAAAACAACAGTTGAGGAAGAAAAACCTAATGAAATTGAAAATTCAAAACCTCCAGTAGCACCAGAGGTCAAAAAGGAAATGGAGGAAGTGAAGGACAAAGTTTTTCAAATTGTAGGTGAATTACCCTTTCTGGAAAATTATTTCATTTCAGCATATTCCGTGAGGAATTCTGCAATTATTCAAATTATGAAATAATATGATTTAAATTTTAACCATGAACTTTACAATAAGAATATTGTAAAATTTATGATTTATATTTCTTCGGAAAAATGATAATTTTGTAAAATAATATTTTTGAAAATTTAGAAAAAATATTTACAAAATTTATGTATCAAATCTTGAGTTGAGGTTCTGTTATGAAATGATGAAAACATATTATGTGAATTGGTCGGTTGAGGGGATTTTATCCAACTGGGGGGTCCCCTTCGGTAGGTTTTACACCCCCCCCCTCCCAACCCCCCGCCCCCTCCCCCCCCATTTTTTCCATCCCATGCCCCAAACCTCTGGGACTTGCAAGCCGGTGCCGGTGGCCCCAGGTGCCGAAGGCCTGGGCCATCGTGAACCGGAACGCCTCCAGCACCCCCAGCGGCAAACCCAACCCCCGGGGCTACCGCATCGACCTGATGTCTTTCTCTACCTCACAGGCGCGGGAAGTGTCGGACACTCCAAGGAGGTCAGCTGACGTTTTTTTTTTTTGTTTGGGGGGGGGGAAGTTTGGAGCTGGCAGGTCTTAGGGATGCACAGAAGTTGTCCAAGGTCAGTTGAAGGTTTGGGGGGGGGGGGGGGCTTGGGAGCTGGCAGGTCTTAGGAGCCGTAGGTCCAGCTTGTGCTCGCAGCCGTTTTGGCAAGCAAATCGACCTGCCTTGGTCCTTGAAACATTCGGGCTTAGCGACTTCTGACCCAAAGATGCAGCAAGCACCGCCGGTTCCTCTGCAGCTCGTCCGGCCAACGAAGAAGCTGGACGAGTTCGCCTGCTGGGAGTGGGCAGCTCAGACACCTGCAGAGCTTCGGTTGGACTCCGGCGAGTGCTGGCGCGGCTACAACCTCGGGGCCAAGCGGTCCATTGCGGGCGAGGTGGTCTTTGCAACGCCCATGATGGGCTACCCCGAATCCCTCATGGACCCTTCCTTTGCGGGTCAGATCCTGGTTTTGACGTATCCCCTGGTTGGCGAAGCTGGACCAGCTGGGCATCCGCATCCTGGGCACGGCGGCGGCCAACATCGACCGTGCAGAGCCCACTAGAGAAGAGACATCTTCGTTAAGCCAAAGCGTGGCTTCCGAGCACAAAGCGCAAGAGGAGGCTGCGTTGTGGGGAAAGCATGATGATCGCTTGCAATGGCGAATTTCCTGGACAAGCATCCAACATTTTCAGCATGAGCTCCATAAAGTTGCAGATGTGGGAACCCTGGCACGTTCATTGCTTGGGGAAAAGTCTGGAAAGAGGCGTGGATTGACGCTGGGATGCGGGCCCATGGCGGGCGAGTACCCAATGCTGAAATCATTCGGGGTGGACAGTATCGAGGCATACGACACTGCAGAGGGGATGTATCAAAAGTTTTTGGAGTTTCAGCCAAACCCAGAGATTCCTGTAACCTACCATGTCATGGATGTGAATGAGATCCATTTGGAGGAAGGGGCGTTTGATGTGATTTACATTCAACACGCATATCATCACTTCGAGCGCATCGAACACGTTGCTGAAGAGATCTCCAAGGCCTTGAAGCCCTCAGGTGTGTTCGTCATCACCGATTGGATTGGGCCAAATTTCCTGCAGCGGACGCCAGCGCAGCTTGCAGTGATGAACAACCTTTGGCATCATATGCCAGCCAAGTGGCAGGACCGGTCCATGGTGGAGAGGGAGTTCCCCGTGGTCATCTCCAAGTACGTGCAGGGCGCCCGAAAGATCGAGTTCGACGGCGTCGGCCGCAATGGCCAGGCGGCCATGGGTCAAAATCCGAACCGTACCCCCAGTGAACATTTCAATCCAACTACTAGTTACTAGAATAGGTTCTAAAATGGGTGGTGAATTCACCTACCCCAAAATGGTACCATTGGTTTTGACCCACGGCCAGGTGATCAACTACGCCATCTCCGAGCATGTGGAGGACGCGGGGACCCACAGCGGCGACGCCACCCTCTTGCTGCCGGCCCAGCGCCTGCATTTGGAAACCCACCGGCGAGTGATGCACATCGCCAGCTCTGCAAGGTTCTGAACATCTCCGGGCCCTTCAACGTGCAGTTCATGGCGCTGGAAGACTCTTGCTTCTCCCTGAGGTCCGTGAAAGTCATCAAGTGCAACGTGCGGGCTTCTCGCACCGTGCCCTTTGTCTCCAAGACCTTCAACGTGAACTTCATCGAGCAGGCCACGCGCGTGATGCTGGAGCAGGAGCTACGCCTACGACTTTGAGTTCGTGGCCTGCAAGGCACCCATGTTCTCCTTCCTGCGGCTGAGCGGCGCGGACCCGCACCTGGGCGTGGAGATGCAGAGCACGGGCGAGGTGGCCTGCTTCGGGCACAACGCCCACGAGGCCTTCCTGAAGTCTTTGATCGCCAGCGGCGTGCAGATCTCCAAGATCTTCGAGCCCTGCGGCGTGCTGCTGGCGCTGAACCCCAAGGACAAGGCCGCCGTGGCGAAGTACCTGCCGCTCTTGGACGAGATGGGCTTCAAGATCTTCGCCACCCATGGCACTGCCTCCTTCTTGGAGGCCAGCAAGACCCAGCGCAACGCCAACAACAGCGCCATTTGCGTCACGCCTCTGGCCAAAAGCGCCGAGGGCGCCGTGTCCGCCATCACGGAGAAGACCGTGCAGTTGGTGATTTGCACGCCTTCCTCGCGGGATTCGGCCGGCCAGACGCCTGGCTATAAGATCCGCCGGAAAGCCCTGGAGACGGGCGTGCCTGATCGTGAACATGCAGCAGGCCCTGATGCTCATCGATGTCCTCTACGAGAAGTTCACCCTTGAGCGGCAGGGCAGGGACTTTTGGACCTTGGATTCCTGGAAGGAGTGCCATCGAATCGGCCAAGAGCTGGTTTGTGAATTCGGCGGGTTTGACGGGTGATACGCATCTATCAAAATCCATCCCCAACCTGTACACTGTACACAATTCCCAATGCTGGGAGAACTCCGAAAGAACGGTTGGTGTGCTCAGGCACGCAAGCGGGTTGACAACGCCTCACCTCAGTGTGGAATCTTGTGAGTCGGCTGGAGGCCGCGACTCTCTTACTCTTGGCAGCGTTCAGCTGCAGGCAACCTCGATTGCCAGACCCGAGGCAGCAAAAAGAGCAGCGAGAGCACGGGCGATGTCCTTTGATCTGACGAATTTGCCACCCCCATCGCTTCAATGAGAACCATGAACTCTACCCCCTCCAAAGACCCTCTTTTTTCAGGGTATCATGTCGATCTAAGCGCTATCGTTGAAACCCCCTGGTTTGCTCTTTGAAGCCCAGGTAACCGAACTCCGGCGCGCTGGGCTTTTTTTTGCCCACGGAGCACCCGTGGTTCGTGGACGGATCGGCGCGCTTCGCTTCCGCGTATTCGGAGGTGCACTCGCCGTCCCACCCCTTCGTGCGGGCCATGCCCTGGACGAAGTACCACCTCGCGGTGACGAAGTATCAGGCTCAGCGGGTTTTATTGCGAGAGGATCTTGGATCGAATTTTGTGGGGGGAAGCACCCAAAAAGCCCTCCTGCGTGATTCCGGGTCAGCCCATTTTGAGGCTTGTTTGCAAAAAGGCCGATCGGTAGCTCCTTAGCTCCCTCTTTAAAAGCAACTTTGGATACCCCTAGCTCCTTGGCCCCCCTTCCAACCATCGGCTTGTCATTTGCGTTGCGGTCGGCGAACAGCCTCCAAAAGAAGGAGGGAAGGCCCTCACAACATCTGGCTGCATCTCGATCCCTAGGGTTTTCCCCCTTGGGGGGGCCATGAGAATGTCACAATATGGCGGGGCCTCATTTCTCACTTCCGGAGTTCATGAACTTTAAACTTTTTGGGAAGACCATTTTGGTGGTTATAAAGTTTGGACTTTTTTGGGCCATCTACTCAGCCAGTGAGTCATGGACACCCTGGTTTCCACAAGCCGATCATGTTGCTTTTGCTTCGCCCCGTTGTGGCCGACTTTGACGATCTGAGGTGCCCAAGTCAGACGTTGATGTGTCCTTTCGTTTGCAGTCTGCCAAGCCTGACAGCGGAGCAGGATGGTTGGATGAAGACATCCAAGACTTCCCATATGCAAAAACAGAGCATGCCACAGCAAATCAACCACTGTGACTTCAGCTGCATCGCAAGGGATTGGCTGGCAGATGCAAGCCTCGCGATCCTGTCATGATGATGCCCAATGATGTCCAATGATACCTAATACATCAGATGACAACCGATGACAACCGATGACAACCGATGATATCCGATGATCTTTACAATGATGATGCTCGATGATACCCGATGATACCAATGATACCAATGATACCCGATGATATCCAATGGCGTCCAATGATCTTCAATGAAACCCAGATGGGCAATGATATCCAATGATATCCAATGATATCCAATGATGTCCAAAGATGACATCCCATGATATCCTATGATGTCCCACAGTATCCAATGATACCCAATGACATCCACTGATATCCCACAGTATCCAACGATTTCTCAAAGATACCAGTTGACATCCAATAATCACGAAAGCTAGCTTTAGCTAGCTGAAGTTTCTCCTTGCGTAAGCAAGGTAAGGGGCTCAAATGCCGAAAGATTGATTTTTTCAATTATTTGAGCCGAAAAGATTGAAAAACATCAATCATTTAGACCCCCCCCCCCTCCCCCCCCCCCCGGTCTCAGGCTCGATTCCTCCCTGGTCCATCCCCCAGGCAGTGGCTCAGTGTTCAGCAGTCTCGGTTTGCCCGTTTTGGACTTGGTGCTACGAACTTTTACATGTTCCACCGATTCAGCTTGTTCATTTGAGACCTCAGTCTTCTCGGTAAACCACCTCGCAAGAATCTTTGCACACGCAGCATGCAGAACCCAGAGGTGCTTTGAGACAGCTTCTGACGCCTCTCGTTGTTCATTTTTCAAGGTTTGCCACGCCACCATGTGCGTTCGCGTGTCGCATCCTACGAATCTTGCCGGGCCTCTCGTTGTACACAAGCTACCTCTGAATCCACTCTGTCACCGACCCATCTCATGCAACAACTGCTAGCTTTCGTTCACCCGCTCCTCAAGTATCCAATGATCTTGAATATAATCGAATGATACCCACGATGTGGCATCGTATCCAGCGACGTGTAACCGGCTTTCTATTTGTATGAACCATATGCACATCTGCTGGCTTGAGTTGAGTAGCTGATGGCTCGCACAGGACAACGAATACCGTCCTTCCTCGCCCTATGTGCTGCTTGGCAGAAGTGAGCAGAGCATAGACTCCGTGCTTGCAGTCTCCTTCAAGCATTTGCATAACCGTTCATTTCCCAAGGAACTTTGACGGCCTTCAGCCATTGACCGGCGAGTATGTCCAGGATTTGGACATCTTCCTCTCGAACAATGCGGCCAAGTTGCAACGGAGCGCGAATTTGCCGTGGGCGAATTTTCGGGATTCCTTCAAAAGGTTGGCTATTTTGGTTTCGTGTTAGCCCCGAAAAAGAAAAAAACGCACAAATTTGCCGTGTGCGAATTCAGGATCCCTTCAACAGGTTTTTTTTTTGGGGGGGTTTCGTGCAAACGCCCCCCCGAAAAGGTCCATGTCTGGCATGCCCAGAGTCCAAAAAACACGCAGCTTCAGGAATCGATCCTCGATGAAGATCTGGTAGCCTGGATCGGCTTGAACAAGGATTCTGCGCGCGCAGCTTTTCCATGTGCGAGGTTAGAGGCGCCAGGTCCAGCGATCGGTGCCAATTTTCTCACCCACTTTTTTGGTTGGGAAGGTTCCCCTACTAAAAATGGACAAGAGAAAAAAGTTGGTCCCCTAATTTTAAGCTCTCTACTGGAGCTAGGACTCGATGTCCCATAGCTGGGCGGTGCTGAAAGGCAAGGTGTCGAGAGCACCGGCCATTCTCAGGGTCCATTGATAGAAACCGGTTCTGAATGTGGGACACGGCCAGTAGTGGCTATATACTTGTAGATGGGGCATCTTTTTGCCCAAGTCCTATGATCCCTTCAGTTTTTTTTTTTTTTGGCCAGGAGCACATCGTGCGGCAGGAGGACATCCCACTGGTCTCCAACTTCGGGGTGTCCTTCTCGCTGCAGCCCTTCAACTTCTTTGACCTGAACACGGCCTCCAACCCCCCCAAGCCTGAGCTCTGAGGCCGCGCCCGGTCGCGAGACGAGCGAAGGAGCCGCGAGATCCGTGGGCCTTTGGCGCTAGCGCTAGTTGGGCAGCCGGCGTTGAGCCCCGGAAGCGGTGGAGCCGTGGAAAAAGAGCGGGCGGAAGTTGGAGCTTTGGGAGGGGATGCTTTGGGGTGACGTTGTTGAACTGTGGAACAAGTGCCCTTTGACACAAAAGTAATGAGTTGCACAAATTTTGGACTTAGGTTGATGGATGACGGTTTGATGGATTTGGTGATGGTAAAGAGGTGGGTTCTTTTGATGGATATGGATCCACCCAACTCTGTACCCCCCATAAAGAGTCTGGGCTTTGCAGTGTTTCCTATGAGAGACTCCTTGGAAGGTCACGGATGGTTTCACGGATTTTGAACCGACACCGACCAGTTTACGGGAACCTCAATCACATGTTGTGATTCTTTGTTTGTCTGGGAGCCCTGATGGTTTTGAGGGGTTTCCACCGGGGGTTTGCTGGAACCGGCATAAAGGAACCTTCCCTTTTAGGAATAGGAGAAGGCTGGGGTTGAAACCGCAAACACAATGGGGGTTATTATCACCATCATTTGCCGAAGGAGTTTCATCATCTAGATTGGCATTGGGTCCTTGCCATTCTTTTCATGGGGGGTTGAACCCTAGGGTTTTCAAGCAAACATCAAGGAGACTCATACTGTGGATGGACGAAATCCTGCACCAACGTTCACAAACCCTGGAATGCTTCGATTCCCCCACATAAATGCCGACAAATGGCTTCAACCTATTTTTTCCCTTTTGTGATGCGATTGGCGTTGATTTCGATTTCGACCATCCGCAGAATCGGAGCCACCCAGCACGACCACCCCCAGCCCAGATCGATCCAGGCAAAGCCATCGGAAGCCTCGGGCGAAGCTTCGGCAGTCTGGTGGACAAGGGCGAGGGGCTGCAGTACTCCAGGCGAAGCGAGAACACGACATTCTTGCAGTGCGTGGTGCCGGCTTCAGCAGAAGGGGTTGCATGGTGTGTGTGTGTGTTATATATATATATATAATTGTTTGTTGATTTTAAATAAATAGAACCTTGCATTTATATTTTTAAAATAGCAACCCAGCACAAAGGGGTCGCTGAGAAATCTCAAAGAGAACCTTTTGCGGGCTTCCGACTCTAAACCAGTACTTCGCTCTTTCTCGGCTTCAAAGGAGGAAACAACTCATGGCTGCCCTTCGGCTCTTTCAAACTAGGGCTGCCATTCTAATGCTGTGTCCCTGGCATTTTTTTTCCGTCTCAGAATCGCCGGTTTGACAATGGTCGGGCGTGTCCTATTGGACATGGACCCCCCCACTGTTGCTCGGTGTTCAACAGGGCTCCTTAAAAGGAATCTTCATTTTGCCACCATTTGAGCCATGTGGATTTTTCCACACCAAGATGAATGGGAAACCCACCATTCACAAGTTGCGATGCTCAGGTGTATGCATCCGGATCCCTGTTCCAGGAGGCCTCCCGGCCTTGATCCCCTCGGCTTTGGAAGGTTCCCTGATGGTGGCGAGTTTCGCTGCGCCACCCTTCAGAGACCCATGAGAAAATTCCGCGGTAATTTTTTTTCGGCCACAGCGCCCTGGACGACTTCAGAACTCGACCCAGATGCGCAGCCAGTTTCCAGGTGCCCCGATCGCCATTTGCCATGTGGATTCTTAATGGGTGGCAAGAAATTGATTGCCTGGTGTCCCTTTTCAATGGAGCCTTCTCCCCACAAATGGATTTCGGTTTTCCTTTCCGTGTCCCTTTGAAAAGACCAAAATTGGGTACCCTCCAAAAAACCAACAGACATCCATCTTGCCTCTGGAAACCCACCGGAATCCCTCGGAGCCTATGGGGTTTTTGGCAACCATCCCACGGTATGGGGGCCTGGGTCAAGAAAAAATAGCCGCCAGGGCACCGCAGGTTTCAGTCCCCCCGAGCCTCGAGCTTCGAGTGGCAGGCACCTGGTGGACCGCCGGGAGGTGCGGGTCATCGCGGGCCACGGGGGCAGCGGCGGCCTGGCGTACAAGAAGCACACCAAGCACAAGATGCGGCCCGGCCGAGAACGATCATGTCTCAAAATGGGGGTGGCAGATACCCGTGTTTTGGGGTTGGTCTCAAAATGGGGGTGGTTAACTACATCTTTTTGTAGGTCGGATTTTGGTGTATGCCTCAAAATGGGGGGTAGTTGTGTCTCATCGTTTTGTAGGTAGGATTTTTGGGGTTGGTCGGAGAAACCAAAGTGGGGGGTCGATCTCGTCTGCGCCGCTGCAAGCGTTTGTGTGTAACTGTCAGAATGGGGGGGGTCTCATCTTTTGGCGGGTAGAATGTTTCAGTGGTTTTAAAGGAAACAAAGGGGGGGGGGATGGAAACGGGTTTTTTTAAAGGCAAACTAAAGGGAAAGCCGACATTCATTTTTGGGGGCCCCTATTTTAAGACACACCCAAATGGTTCGACCCCTTTTGCTTGGTATTTCAAGGTAAATCAAAAGAGAGACCAACCATTTTATGGCAGCAATGCCCTCATATCTCTCTCGCCAGTCGAGCCAGTTGACCGCCCTCAGTGCCCTTTCAGGGTTTGGCAAAGGGTCCTTTCCCTCTCATGCAGCGAGGGATTCAAGCGAGGGTCTCCTTATTATTTTGGTACCAGCAGAAGGATTCCCTGTTATGGCGGAAGCCCTAGAGACAGCAGCGGGCGTCCACGGGTCAGCACTTCAATCTGGTTTGTCCTTTTCAGCCGTAGGTAGGATGTTTCAAATTTGGGTGCTGCCTCGATTCTTCTGCTCTAAAAGGGTAAGTCACAACACGAGATAAGCAGAACATGTAAAGCCCCGATTTACTTTCCGTTGTTTCCCTAGAAACGAGGATTTGTTCATTCTATTGCTGTTGTGATGTGTGAAAAAAGACCAGCACACAGCAAACCACGACCTCCCAGCTGGTAGGATGAAGCCAATCCAACGGTTGCACCAGTGAAAATCCCGTTGGGGAGCTATCCTCTTTGCAACAGGTTGTGAAAGCCTGCCAGTATCTTCAACAGACAACCCCGGCCCTTTTCCATGATCTTGTCCACTTTCTGTCGGGTCAACTCTCTAAATTCATGGGTTCACGACATGAATTGGGAGTTTCTTCAAAATAGGAGACATTTTCCTTCTAGTTTTCCTTTGAAACCAGCTAAAAGAGGTCCACCATTTTGAGAAATTCTTAATTTGACGTCAGTGGGTCCATTCCGTTGGGTGACGCGGCACTTGCGAGGATCGGCCCGGGTTGGCCCTGCGGCGGCAGCGGCGGTGGCTTGGATGAAGGGCTGCAATCCAAGTGGCCGCAGGATGTTTTTTTTTTGGACCCCCCCCAGGGCCGTTTTTAAAAGACAATCAAAAGGAAAAATGTCTTTTTTGGAACCCCCCATTGGTGGTTTTAAGAGAGAATCAAAAGGAAAAACCATCCCGGTGGATTGAACCATGGAAAACTGGGAGATGGGAGGGGTGTTAATTGTGGAGAAGGGGCTGGGATGTATCCGTCATTTAGACTGCACGGTATGAAAGAGGGCGGAGTAGGCCTAACACCTTGAAGCCCATGTCTCCATTTGGGTCTTGGAGACTGGGGGTATCCGACTCAAGTGGCAAAAAGTGGGTACCAACAGATGGAGTTTGAGAGGCTTGTTCCCGTACCATGTTTTTTTCCATCAAGAGAGCCTCTGGCGATGTCCATCCCAAGAAAGCAATCTTGGACCCAGTTTGCTTCAAAGATCCGGACGGGGAAGCCCCTCCGTTTTTTTTTTTTTTTTTTTTTTTTTTTTTTCCGGCCACGTGGCGTTACATCCAGATGTTGGTCTCTCGCTCCATGAGGTCGAGGAGGAGACGTGGTGGTGAAGGCCTGGCACTCGAGTTGTACGCCGAGGATATGATTCTTATGATTATGATTACGACTATTACGATTATTATTATCATCATTATTATTGTTATTATTATCAATATTATTATGATCATACTTATAATGGCAATAGATATTTATTAGATATACATGTATATATATATATATATATATGTATAATGTGGATGTTGCTTTCTTCTTCTTTTGCGAGCGGGCATGTTGCTTTGTTAGGAAAGGCAAGTGGACCGCTGGGACAACTGGATGGACACCTACGAGTTTCTCAGAATGGAGCCCTTCTGGCTAGTTTTTTCAAGGAGACCCAAAGGAAGCCGACCATGTTAGGGGACCCCTATTCTGAGACACCTAGTAACAATAATGGTTTTTGTTCCAGGCGTGTCCAAGATTGGGTGAAAAGACCCCTTGACTTGGGGGGCTCCAGACTGGAACTTTGGGTTACTCCCAAATGACCATTTCCCCTGTAGGTGTTATACCCTTTCGTCAAGTTTTCCGAGTCACCACAGGCTGGAAGATGGGCTCTGACAGTCACTTCCAGTGATTCATAGGAAGTGGCTTTATGGAATCTCCTCCGGGTGGATACAAGGGGGGTAGTTGAGAGGTTTAGGGTTCCTCCGGGTTCCTTTGTTTGGGAAGCCATTTGTGAATGGCACACCCTATGTTTGATGCATTCCCATTTTGTTCGGCTGTGTTTTGACCGACATGGAGAAGGACATGGGTGATTCTTCTAGTCGTTTAAGACAAATTGCCCAACGGATTCCTTACAGGATACGACTTGGCCATTTTGGACGCCGCCTTTGTCCGGGCTTTTCAGAAAGTCATCCAACGGGTGTGTGCTTTGTCGAGGTACCTGTCATTTGGGTTGGTTTAAAGGGAACCTGCAAGGACAGCCAGCAGTTGGGGAGTCCGAATGCTTGTTTTGACTCAACCCAAGCTGTCTGGACCACTATCAAGGGAAGTCCGCCAACAACCCCCCGCATGTGTGCAATCGACGCTTGGAGATTTGCAAAGCACCCTTTGTGTGGGCTGGTTTGGGATGACCTGGGATGACAGAAGCAAATGCCAAATAGATCCCCTCCTAAGACAAACCTGTAGGCTGACAGCGGGTTCCTGCTACAGGACAATTGTATTCAAGGTCGCCTTCAGGTTCCATGCTTGTTGTTGGGAGGGTATTCGAGGCGACTCCCAGTGGGTCAGGCAAACCCTGAGTTGGTGGGTTGGATTGGTTTGGATTTGAAGCCCTGGCCTTTGTAGGGGGTAAGGGGGGGACCACCCCTTCACAGCTCCAAACCAGGCTCCACCTTTTGTGCCGGGTAGAAGCAAATGCCAAATAGATCCCCTCCTAAACCTGGAAGCTGACGATTGGTGGTTTGGACCTGGATTTGAACCTCCATCCTTTGTAGAGGGTAAGTGAGGGGACCACCCCTTCACAGCTCCAAACCGGCCACCTCCATCCTTTGTAGGGGGTGAGAAGACCACCCCCTGACAGCTCCAAACCAGCTACAAGCCAAGTGCCTGGCCAGGCAACTCCGGACCTTTGGAGCCTGGCGCACGTGAACGGACACGTGCAAGCGCCCAACGGGATGACCGGGCGGAGGGGGAACCTCAACGGGGAGAGCGGCCCGGGCCCCGGGATCTTTGTGGGTCTGTCTTGCTTCTTTTTTCTGTGGCTTTAAAGGCAAACCAACAATCAAGCTTCTTTCCGTTTTTTTTTTTTTTTTTTGGGGGGGGGGGGCGCTCTTTTTTTGAGGGTATATGCGTTTTTGTGGTGGGTTTAAAGGCAAACCAAAAATAAAGAGCTTCTTTTTTGGGGGGTGGGGGGTGGGGATCCCCTAAACACAGACGCACCCTTTTCTTGTTCTTGCCTGCTGCTTGACCATTTTTTAGTTTCTTTTTTTGGGGGGGAAAGGCAGTGCGAGGGGTGCGTTTGCTCAATTAGTCTGGGCACAAGGAGGTTTTGGGTGCAACTTGAGGACTTAGGCATGGTGCAGCTGCCAAGGAGAAGAGGAGTGTTTGTAGCTTTGGAGTTTTCTGCACATCGGATCATGCGCCCCTCACACTTACACAATTCCTTGGCAGAGCAGGGCCGAAGGCAGCTCATCAGTTGAAGCAGTTGCATCCGAGTTCCAAACAAAAAAACCCTTGCACCGCTGAGCTGTGCTTTGTTTCCCCTTCCAGCACCGCACTTTTGCTTCCATTTGCTTAAGAATGTGTTTAATTTTCCCCTGTTGGTTTTTAAAGGGAATCTATCACTGCTGGACATTAAAAAAAAGGAAGCTCACGCAAATGGAAGTTTGCCATGCCATCATATTCCGAGTTCTCGCGTTGGCATCTCTCACCCCTCAAAAACCGTCTGAGCCTCAGCCACAGGCCGGCAGTGCGTGATCTCGGTGCCGCGGGGGGTCTTCGTGCGTGAGCTCCTCGTGGACCCCGAGGATTCCCGGCAGAAGCGCCGCGGGGCGCTGCTGGCGGACTTGGATCAGCCCGGGCAGTCGGTGACGGTTGCCCTGGGGGGCAAGGGCGGCATGGGACGCTCGGCAAAAAAAAACGGGCCTGCTTTTTCTTGGCGGCTCCCAGCCATCCGGTTCCTTGGCTTTTTAGCCTTTTGGTGTTTAGTGGGGATGTCCATTCAATCCACCAAAAGTTAAACTTTTAGAGGGGGATCTGAGGGCAGCCCAGTTTTGGTGTCACTGAAAAGGAGTATATAAACCTTATTGCGATGCCAGGTCGTGTTGGTCACCGTCAGAAACAGCACCTTTCGGAGGCAAATGACTGATCAGGGTTGAAAAGCGGTTCAACTCGAAGCACTGGACTTCAGTGTGGTGGGTATGTGTCAAAATTTCTGCTACCAAACTGGCCATTTGGAAGGGGTCTGCTTTTTTTTTTTTGCAATATCCCCTGGTTGCTTTGCGCTTCGATTTCGCACTCCGATATTCGTGGGGAATTGTCTGTGGAAGAAGCATCTCAAACAACAATCTTTCTGAGCGTGGACGCCGGCCACCCCCCCCTCCCCTTTTTTCTTGCCTTTTCTAGGGTAAAATCTGCAACACACGTTTACTGAAAATTCTGCACCCCTGAAAGCGGGGTCCCTCTTTTTTTAGATGACGAGATGTTTGTGGCAGGCCACCCTTGGTGCTACATGAACCCTAAGCATCAACCATGCGCATTGTGTTTTTTTCTTCCTTCTTTTCTTGTAAGTCAAAGAGGGTATAGGGAACAATGCCATGCCTTGTGTGTCCAAAAGTAAAGCCTGTCTCCCAAGGATTTTCACCCTCAAATAGCGAAGTCAATCTTTAAGAAATGAAGACTATGGAGTTTCCTAACCAAATAATCCAGAAAATCCATAACTTTTACCACTCCACTCCACTCAAGTTCGCACGGGGCCTCTGTGGGCGCAGCTGATTTATTGGGGGGGGAGATCAGGCTCAAATAAACAGAGAACAAATACTCACAAATACTCAAGTAGAGAACAAATACTCACCCATACTCACTAATTTGTTACCCTCAAATAGGGAACAACCACTCTCCCACGGCCGAGGTAACAACATGGCGCGGGTTCACGAGGCCTTCCTGGGCTTGCCGGGCCAGGAGCGAGATCCAACTGGGGCGGTTTTAGTGGGCGGGTTTCTTGGGTGTCAAAAACCACCCCAAAAGTGGCAAGTGGTCAAGAACATGTGTGTTCGAGGAACAAGTTGTAGGTCACCAACCTTGATTTCCCTGCTGCACCTTTAGATGTAAAGAAAAGACACAGCCCAACTGAACTCTTACAGCCCTCGCAGCGTGCTCTTGAAACCTGGGCAAGGGTGAGCAGAGGCTGTGGCACAAAGGCAGCGCACATCGTGGACCTTGCCGGGGAGGTTGCAGGTTCAGAGCAGTTGGACAACCGCTGGTTTGATTTTGCCAGTTCACGTAAGGATCCTGTCTTTATGTTGGGAGCCCGACAAAGTGTCCATTTAGCGCAGCGAAGGGAACGGCACCAAAGTATCAGCACCAAAGTATCAGGAATCGGAGTCGTTAGGGAGACTATCACGAATATAGGTCTGCGCTCATGTGTACCAGTCAAGGGAGCCAAATGGCCCAGTTTCGACCATGGCTTACATCCCAGAGACAAGCACAATCCATGCCAGGGAAGCTCTGCGAACGGATTCCCCTTCCAGTCATTTTCAACTAAACATACTCTGGCACCCAGGTCTTTCTCCCAAAATTTGGATTTTTTCAGTGGGACCCCAACACTCCCCCCCCCCCCGGCGCCATGATGAAGCCTTGGCTGGCCTGACTGCCGGCGCAGGACCGGCGTATCGAGCTTGAGCTGAAGACCGTGGCGGACGTCGGCCTAATCGGCCTGGGCCCCGAGCACCGGGCGAGCTGGAGCAGCGGGTGGGGTAATAAGGGGGGGGGGGGAAATGGGGTGGCGTGGCTCAGTTGTTTGGGTCTTTTTCCACTTCAGGGCCATTTTTGGAAGAGCCGCATTTTTTGGGAGCCACCACTGAATAGAAGCCAGTGAAACGATTGGGGTTGATGGAACCGTCATTGTTGTTTTCTGCGTCATATGAATTGGGTCAACCTATTGTGTTAATGGGAGTTGAAGCTAAGGGCCCAAGTTTTGGCCATGCTGTTCAACTGTTTGGGAGGTTGGTTGACCCTATGTTCACTATTTTGGAGTGATTTTCAATCCTAGCCCGGAGGACCAATCGTGTCACGCAGGACAGACATCTGCAGATTGACATTGGTTCCTGATTTTTGGTGAAGCCAATTGTTCCCCACTTTTCTTGCTGGTGCTCAGTAGGCACTGTGGGAATGAACCCAGGGATTCCCTCAAAGGAAACCACCAGCTGGATGGTTCATCTTGGGGTCGTTCCAGAGCTCTCATTCCCTGCATCTCTCGCACCGACCACTTTTTGGTCAGACTCCAGGTCTCGTTTTTTGCATCTCTCGCACAGCTTTTTCCCATGCGAGGCATGCCCAACGCGGGCAAGAGCACGCTGCTGGGGGCGGTGAGCCGGGCGTGCCCGAAGATCGCGCCCTACCCCTTCACCACGGTGGCGCCCTACGTGGGGAAGGCCGGCGAATTCGGCCGGCGAATGCGGCAATTGCGGCCTTCGTTGCGAGTGCTGGGGATCAAATCACATGGGCGTGGCGCTTTTTGGGAGGGTATGCTTGTTTGCGCTTGTAAAGGAAAAGTTTTTTTTTTCCTTCTTTTTTTTTTTTTTTTTTTGGGGGGGGGGGGCAAAAAAAGGACCCCCAATATGGGACCCATTTTCGGGGTTCACCTTTGGAATTTCCCGCAGGAGCCCCAGTTAAGCCCTTGCCGTCCCATCTGCCCTCCCAGCTGGGAAGCCAGGCCTCATTTGGAGGGTTTCCGCAGATCCAGGGTTAGCTGAGGAAGCTGCGTGGGGAGAAGACTCGTCTTTCCAGCAACAAGCTAAAGGTCAAAGATCCTGATATTATTCAACATTTGGCAATTTGAAACATGTCCTTTACCACCAGACCAAAGAAGAAACACAAACTAAGTACAATTCTGGGGTACTGGATAGCCAAGAATGAGCCATCTTGAACCCAACTTCCTTGCGGCCATCATAATCCTCTGGTTGCACAGTTCCCAAGTAGTTTTGATATGGCCATGAGTTTCAATAGGGAACCCATTGAAACGTGGTTGGTGGACATGAATCAAAACCTAAACAATGTCCACCAAAGGGCCCCAACTATCGTTCATACCAGCCCATATCTGTTGGACACCGCCATTCTGGGAAAATTAAATCCATTCTAACAAACCACCTCTTGGAAACCTGCGAACCTCTGGTGGCACTACTGTGGGGCTCATGTAACATGAAACATTTTTTTGCGGCCAGGCGAAATCTGAGTTACGTGAATTCTGTTCAGACCCAGATTTTGGGGGCCACTTGGACTCCTTCGAACATATGAAAAGCACCACACGTTGGGGGCTAGGCCACAGATGCCATGTCAGGAGCCCCATGAGGCCACCGGTGCCCCGGTGCCCCCTGGCCCCTGGCCCCTGGGTATCGCGTGTCAGAGGCCACCATGGTGCCCCCTGGCGTCAGGTGGACTTCGCGGACGGCAGCAGCTTGACCATGGCCGACGTCCCCGGGTTGGTGGAGGGCGCCCACCAGGGCCATGGCCTGGGCCACGAGTTCCTAAGGCACCTGGAGCGCACCAAGGCCAGCGATTCGGAGGGCGGGGGTAGGTTCTCGCCTTCAGAGGTTCAGACACAAATGTGGGAAGATACAAATATGGATAACACATGTATATCATTCTAAAACATACTCACTTCCTGAGTTCATGCACTTTAAACTTTTTGGGACGACCATTTTAGTGGTAAATGTAAAGTTTGAACTGTTTTTGGGCCATCCACTCAGCAAGTTTGTATATATGCATGTTTATAGGTGCATGTTCCCCTTTGCGGATTCATGCACATGAAACATGGTCCCGCAGAGTTTTTTTTTTTTTTTTGCAATGTGATTCGCTCTGCAATGTGTGAAGATACCAACATGGATACGGACATATGTTGGGTCACATGATTGGTTGGAACACCCTGAGCGAGCACAAATCCCCATGTACAATCCAATCTCCTATGCGAACCGATGGCACCATTGGTGCTTAGCTTTCCACAAATATGCCTTTGAGAGTATCGCGACCAAGGTCCGTTGATATTGGTTCATTGCTACAGAAAACAGCCAGCCAGAAAGGCTTGTGCATTTTGCCCCGTGGTGACTGGGCACCGCGCTGGGTGCTAAACAATCTTAAATTCTCCAGCTCCTCATTTGCACAGGAAGCCGCAAGTGGATGGATATCCGCCTACTATGACGGAAGCTGACGGATTTCTTTCAGATACTCGTTCCTCGGGTTCCTTTTTCGTGCGTAGGAGGGCTTCTGAACCTCTTTTAGATCTTCAGCATCAAATTTCTCCAAAAACACATCTTCTCCAGGTGCCGGGCTTTCACAGAATTCCCTATGTCTTGTCACTTCTCGGCACAAGGTCTCCCCTCTCACGGAGTAGCGACTTTTTTTCTCCTGTTGTCCCGGCCCAGTGACGGTGGGGCGTGCCATGGCTTTGCGGAGCCTGCGCCGCCTGGCCCTGGCCCAGGCGCGCTGGAGAGAGCAGGGTGGGTGTCCTTCCATCCGGCACGCCGCTGTTTTTCGATGAGGTCTGGGTTTGTCCTTCTTGGGGCTATCTGAGAAGATTCAAGACGAAGGGTCCTTGTTTTTGGACAATTGCAAGGTAAATCCTTTGCGCTATTGGAGTCCGATGTTTGTCGCCTCTCGCGGAAAACAGCACACGAGGCGAGGGTGGCTTGACTGAGACAAGCAATGGACACAGCATTGTTTGGTTCCAATGCCGGGCTTCAACAATCATTGAGCACCGAGATCTCTGCAAGTATTGTTCTTCAAGAAATCGATGCCCCGCCCAGCACATGCACCAGGGCAATGATGCGAAGTCATGCGCACGCCATCGCAGTCTCTGCCAGGCCCCGCTGCTGCCATGTGCAGCGCAGGATCGGCGCCCTTTTGCAGGGCTGGTGCTGGGAGGAGTCCGGGGCCAGCGTGGAGGACGGCGTGGAATGCGGATTGCCGAGTGCTTGTCTCCCAATTTGTTTCCCAATTTGTCTCCCAATGCTTTAACAGGACGCCGTTTCTGGTTCTGTTTGCAGTTGGCTGGCCTGCATGCTGGTTGCTGTTCCCTACCGTGTCGTGTTTTGTGAGGAGAGTGCGACCACGGCACGCGCAGCACGCACGACAGCTTCTTTGCCAAGACTCGCCTGGCGTTTCGCAAGCCGAACATTGGCACACCGGCAGGGCAGTCTGGCTTCTGTGTGTGCGGACGCGTGCTCCACCCGTGTTTTGGATTTCAGCATGATGCACGACCATCTTGCTGTGCCAACTGCAAAGAGGATGGCATGGTGAACATCAAGAGCCCCAAATGTAGGTGTGGCAGAGCCAGACCGCATTTCGGGATGCCAGGCGATGCTCGGGCAACTTGCTGTGCGAACTGCAAAGAGGATGGCATGGTGAACATCAGGAGCCCCAAATGCAGGTGCGGCAGAGCCCAACCTTTTTTTGGGATGCCAGGCGACGCTCGGGCAACTTGCTGTGCCAACTGCAAAGAGGATGGAATGGTGGACATCAAGAACCGCAAATGTAGGTGTGGCAGAGCCAGACCGCATTTCGGGATGCCAGGCGACGCTCGGGCAACTTGCTGTGCCAACTGCAAAGAGGATGGCATGGTGAACATCGAGAGCCCCAAATGCAGGTGTGGCAGGGCCATACCATATTTCGGGATGCCAGGCGATGCTCGGGCAACTTGCTGTGGTAGCTGCAAAGAGGACGGGATGGTGGACATCAAGAGCCGCAAATGCAGGTGTGGCAGGACCCAACCTCGTTTCGGAATGCCGGGTGATGCTCGGGCAACTTGCTGTGCGAACTGCAGAGAGGATGGCATGGTGAACATCAGGAGCCCCAAATGCAGGTGCGGCAGAGCCCAACCTTTTTTTGGGATGCCAGGCGACGCTCGGGCAACTTGCTGTGCCAACTGCAAAGAGGATGGAATGGTGGACATCAAGAACCGCAAATGTAGGTGTGGCAGAGCCAGACCGCATTTCGGGATGCCAGGCGACGCTCGGGCAACTTGCTGTGCCAACTGCAAAGAGGATGGCATGGTGAACATCGAGAGCCCCAAATGCAGGTGTGGCAGGGCCATACCATATTTCGGGATGCCAGGCGATGCTCGGGCAACTTGCTGTGGTAGCTGCAAAGAGGACGGGATGGTGGACATCAAGAGCCGCAAATGCAGGTGTGGCAGGACCCAACCTCGTTTCGGAATGCCGGGTGATGCTCGGGCAACTTGCTGTGCGAACTGCAGAGAGGATGGAATGGAAAACATTGTAAGTTTGAGATGCCTTGTGTGCGGAAAGCACGCAAGCTACCCAGATGCTACTGGCAAACCTCGACAATTCTGTGCAATGCATTCTGCAGAGGTTGGTGCACGCGTACTGTCCTTATCGATGTTTTCGCGGGCAGCAAGCGATTGTTTGGACATGTTGGAGGAGGAGGTAGGCTACAGGTTCACTTTTCGGCACAGATTCGATGCATCTAGCGGCACTTGGTCCGGCAAGGAGTTTGCAGGTCTGTTTCCAAAGCGTGCTTTTCTTCCGGATGCATACCACCCGGAGAGGCGTGAAGTGGTTGAATTTCTGGGGAACTACTATCATGGCTTTCCTGTGGAGCATCCACGGCTACTTGGTAGCACATATCGCAGCTTCATTGTGTGTCGTTGTGGCACCCAAGTACAAGTACGAGTTTCTGTCATCAGCTCGCAACTCATTCTGTTTCAAGGCATAGCAGCTTCATTTGCGTGGGCGGCAAGCCGGCGCCGGACGTTTATCGTGACACCATGGAACGCCTCGATCTGTTCACAGCGGAGGGGCTCAGCGTCTTCTACATTTGGGAGCACGAATTCGTGGAGTGGCGGAAGCGAGCGTCTTGGCAGAAGCGGGGCTGGGTTTTCTTGAAGCAATTTCCATTGTGAATTTTCCAATCTGCCGTCTTCCTTGGACATAATAATGGTTTCCATGACTCTAAGTTGACTTAGCATGTCAGAAACGTCCAAACTCCTGCCACAACGGTGCATCACGGTGGTAACAAGCCGGTTTCGGTGGCCAGTTCCTTGGCCCCTAGTTTCCCTTACGGGAACTCGTCGCATTCGTTGCGAGTCCGTCCGCCTGCCCAAGCCCAGGCTGCCGCTGGGGAGGCTGGGCCGATCACCAGCCTCCTGCGCCGCCATGAGCCAAAGCACATGGGCCGAAAAGAAGCGTGCGCCTCTCAAACAAGCTGGTCCAGTGACACCCGCTGTTTCCTTTGATGGTGGTAATTGCCCAATTCAAACTCAAAGGGAAGTCCTTTTTTGGTCAGGGTTGTGGGAATTGCGCTGGAAGGTCGTTCCCTGATACCACAGGCCTTGGCAATTTCAGGTCCCTACAACCAACTTGCCTTCGGAACTGGAAACCGCAATTGAACCCTTGGCGAGCAAGGCACCCGAATCTGATAGAGAGCTGAAAAGATTGGCCTTAGAGCTTGCAGTGAAACCTCTTTCGTTGTTTGCTTATTGGTAGCAAATTGCTTCAAAGACTCCCTTGCATCCTTTGAACAGAGGAAGCTGGGCGTTCCTGGAGATGTATCCCCCCTCTCACATTCATACAGCATGCATGAACAGTTATACACATGGATATATGCGTATAAAGCCGCACACACACACACATGTGTATATATATATATATATTTATTTATATGTATGCACATGTGCATGTTTTTTACGTACATGTTTTTCTACATGTAGTTGTAATTACAGCCATAATTATTATGTTGATAGCTGAATGTTACAACAAACCCATGGCTATGCTGGGTCACTTAATTGCCGAACATGGTGAAATCCGCCATGTACCATTCAACCTGCTACACTAGCTGATGGCACCCTTGTTGATTTCGACTAGGCCATTGAGAGTACCGACAAGGCCGTTGATATTTGGTTCATTGCTACTCAAAGCAGGATGCTAAACAACCTTAACAATTCCACAAGTTCCTCATTTGTACAGGAAGCCGCAAGGGGATGGCTATTCACCTACTGTGACGGAAGCTCACTGGTTTCCTTCAGATACTCTTTCCTCGGGTTCCTTTTTCGTGCGTCGGAGGGCTTCTGAAGCTCTTTTAGATCTTCAGCATGTATTTTTTTGCAAAAGCACGCTTCTCCAGGTGCCGCTCTTTCAGGTGCCGGGCTTTCACAGAATTCAGGGTCACTTGGCACTGGAAGCAAGCCTGCCTTCTCATTGCGTGTCACCCGTTACTTCTGAGCGTGGAGCATGGCACGGCTGCGTGCCATGGCTCTGCGGTTTCTGCGCCGCTTGGCCCAGGCGCGGGAGCGGCGGGCTGTCTTTCCATCCGGCGCACCGCCCGCGTTTTTCCGACGAGGTCTGGGGGTTTGTCCTTCTTGGGACTATCTGAAAAGATTCAAGACGAAGGGTCCTTGTTTTGGACAACTGCAAGGTGAATCCTTTGCACTAGCGGAATCCGATATTTTGGAACCTTTTTTTCCCCCGTTTTTTTCTTCTTATTTTTTTGTTTTTATGCTATTTTTGTTCGATGAGGTTTATTCCAAGAAGGCAACAGT